GTGATCTTCCTGCCTCAGCCTCTCAGAGTGCTGGGATTACAGAGATGTGCCATCACACCCAACTAATCTATGCCCTTTTCTGTCTGGCTTCTTTCACTGGGCACAATGTTTCCAGGGCTCAACATCCCATAGTATTAGCAGTGCTTTGTCCCTTCCTGGCTGGATGATGTTTGAACCTGTGGCTATAACACATTTTGTTAATGTGTGCGTCAGTGGGTAAACTTCCGGGTTGTTTCTACTTTTTAAGTACCGTGAGTCACGCTGCAATCAATATTCATATTTAAGTGTTGGCATGGATATATATCTATATTTAATATTCCTGGGTATATACCTAGGAGTGGAATTGCTGGGTTCTATGGTAACCTCTATGCTTAATTTTTGTTTTTTTTTTTTTGGTCTTTGTGAGACAGGGTCTCACTATGCAGTTCAGGCTGGCCTTGAGCTCACTTTGTAGCCCAGGTTGATCTCAAACTCACAATGATCCTCCTGCCTCAGCCTCCCGAGTGCTGGGATTACAGGCATGTACCACCACGCCCAGCTTTAATTTTTGTTTTAAATTTTTAGTTTTTTGAGACAGGGTCTCGCTATATAGTTCACACTGGCCTTGAACTCACTATATTGGCCTTGACCTTAAACTTTCAGTGATCCTCCTGCTTCAGCCTCCTGAGTGCTGGGATTGCAGGTGTGTGCCACTACACCCAGCTCCAGATTCCTTAATTTATATTTGGTCATCTGACTGTCCCAGAAACATTGGTTGGAAAGACTGTTCTCTCTCCCATTGAATCATCTTTGAATCTTTGTCAAGAATCAAGCCAGGTGTAGTGATGCACACCTGTAAATCCAGCACTTGGAAGGCTGAGGCAGGAGAGTTGCAAATTAGAGTCCTGCTTGGGCAATCAGACTATACATCAAGATTTAAAAAAAAAAATAAAAAAGGGCCAAGGATGTAGCTCATGGGTAGAGCACCCCTGGGTTCAGTCCCCAATACTGAAAAACCAAATGATAATACATGAGGGTTTATTTCTGGGTTTTCAGTTTTACTCCACCCATCCAGATGTGGACCTCTCTGTTAGCTCTGTCCTGTCCTTATTACTGCAGTGTTGCAGGAAGGAACAGTTTCCGGGGGAGTAAAGGAGGAAGCACATTTTTTGCTCAGCACAGAGGTCTAAGCCAGTTCTCAAAGTGTGGTCCCTGGACCAGCGGTGCTAGCTTCTCCTGCAAACTTGTCAGAAGTGCAGTTTCCCAGGAAACACTGGACTCTCCGCTTTGGATACCCTTGGACCGGGCCTAGGAACCAAAGTTTACCAAGACTCCGGACCTCCCAAGGGACACTCGAGTTTGGGACTCTGGGTGCTGGATTGACATCGTCCAATATGACATCCACTACCTGAATTGCAGTGAGTTCGAACTGAGTTGTGCTGTAAGTACAGAAAGTGCATTTCAAAGAACGATCGTGGAAAGAAAGCAGCTTATCTCATTTGTAATTTGGCCTTGAGACTATGAAGGGTGGCTGGGAAATTAACCAAAGCTACACAGGGTGTGTTTCACGTCTTACGTTCAGGCTGCCCTGACCGAATTCCACAGACTGGTCAGTTTACGCAACTGGAAATGTGGGTCTCGCAGTTCTGGAAGTCCAAGGTTGAGGTCCCTGAGGTCCTGGTTCTATACAGGATTTGCTGCCTGCTCTGCTTCCTTCTTGCTGTTTCTCTGTGCACCCCCAGCCTGGCCCTCTGCGTCCTCTTCCCGAGACAGATCAAAAATGGCCGGACTCTTCCCTATCCCTCTAATAGTGAGGGGCGCCGTGCCAAGTGACAGCTACAGCTAGCTGTGCTGGAGGCCCGCCCACTCTGGGAGGGGTCCACCCTGACACTGGGGCCTTGAACTTGAGCCAAGCAGCAGGCTTGAATTTGGACCAATCTGCAAGCTCAGATCAGAAGGTTTGCATTTCTGACCAGTTTGGACCAATCGGCAGGCTCAAATTTTGACCAACCAGCAGGCTTGAATTTGGACCAATCACAGACAGGCTCAACCCATCATTGACTAGAACCCCTAAGACTATGGGTAATGTAAGCCTTTTCCTGTGCAGACTGATGATCTCAAGTATTTGTTATAGTAACGCAAAGCTGACTAATGCTTCTCCCCAAATCCTTGTCTCTAAATAGACTTGGTTAGTGGTTAGTGGTTAGTGAGTCAACGAACATATGGGGAGGTGGGCGGGCCATAGCAGGACAGGGGACACGGGTTGCTCCTGACTTCTTGGAGCTTGCAAAGATAAAGGGGTCCAGGGCCCGTAAGAACCTGCCTCTGAGTCATGCTGGCAGGATGAGCAGGACCACAGCACGTGTGTCTGGGGCAGTCACGCACGTGGCGTGCCTGAACCTAAGGAGCTAGTGTCCCTGATGGGCCCTGACCCACCCCACCCATCAACGCAGAATCCAGCCATCCTGTGGGCTGGCAGATCACATAACACCCTACTTTCCTGACCCAGGTACCCCCTTGTCTTCTTGCTGCTGCAGCTCAGAAGTTCTGCCATTTCTTCTGGCTGTGAGCTCTGGGGTCAGGAAGGACAGGTGGCCAGGTGTGATGCCTCCTCCACAAACCCTGCCGGCCACACTACTTGAGATTACAGATGAAGCCAACCCAGCGAGGGCCCAGAGACAGCTGGTCTCTGCTCCTCAAACATCCTGAGTCTGCGAGCTGGAGTCACTCTCCTTTGCAAGATTCTTAGAACACATATCCAGGTTTATTAAAGTGCTGCAAGTAATTTTTTAAAAAAAATAGTATTTCTTCCAGTGCCTGTGGGGGCCCAGCACAATTCCAGTCTGACTTTGGTCACTTCTGGGGTGGCCTCTGTGACCCTCTCCACCCCGTTGCTCATTTTGTTGGTGCTCACGGTTCAGGCATTGACGACAGTGATTATTTGGCTTATGTGGACACCTGTGGCCCTGTGCACGGGAGAAGCTTGCTCAGTTTCTCTGGCAGGGTGTTGGCTACATGGTCACCAAACTGGCTGCTTTGCCGGGCGTGGTGGTGCACGCCTGCAATCCCAGCACTCAGGAGGCTGAGGCTGGAGGATTGTTGTGAGTTGGAGGCCAGCCTGGGCTACAAAGTGAGCTCAAGCCCAGCCTGAACTGCATAGCGAGGCCCTGTCTCAAAAAAACAAACAAACAAACAAACAAAAAAAAACAAAAAAAACCCAGCAGCTTTTTCCTGGGCACTCAGAAGTTTGTAACTCCCAGAGTCCTTTGCGGTCAGGCGAGGTCACCTGGCTAATTCTGCTTGATGAGGTGGGCGGAAATGATGGGCTGGACTCCAGGCCTGGCTCCTGAACAACGCTCCGGGGCCCCTCTAACAGGCTCTCTCTTCTCTTATTGGAACCAGGGGCAGCCTTGGAAGCCCTGAGGGAAGATGTGGGGCTCACCCCTGGCTGGCTCCCTTGTGAGCCGCCCACCTGTCAGGGTGACCTTCCACCTGGGTGAGAATTGGCGACCACAGCACAGCATAACCAACTCTGGCTGACATAATACCTGGACAGCCGGGCTGTAGGTCCCTGGCTGATTGACACCCATGGAGCTGGGTGTCTGAGCACCTGTCATTTGTCACCTCACCGGTCCCCTGCAAGAATCTGCTACAATAAGGGGCTGACTCTACCAAGAAAGAAGGCATAGCAGCCCCCAGACGTCAGAGGACGCCCCTCCCATTTTGAACTATTTTGAGGCAAGATCTCACCATGTCATTCAGGCTGGGCTCGAACTGTGAAGCCCAGGCTGGCCTTGAACTTGCGGCAACCTTCCTGTCTCAGCCTCCAAGTCCTAAGACTACAGGCATGGGCCTCCACCGTGCTGGGCTTCCTAACATCCCCGCAGCAGCAGGGCATGCTAACCCTCTCAGCCATTATTTCATTTGTTCCTCGCTGCAGGGCCAGCTGGGAGACGAACTTCCGGTGGTTTTGGTTTTGCCATCCTGCCCTCAGGAGACAGGGAGGAACAGAGGGGTCAGGAAGCTGGGGGCGGGGATCAGCTGCTCTGCCAGGAGCGCGCAGCAGCTTCGTGCGTACCAGGAGTTCACTCGCTCACGGAGCTTTTTGTGGAGGAGGATTTGAAGGAGGGATTGGAGTTTCTCCCTAGAGACGCCGGAAAGACGGTTCTGTCTCCGCACAACAGGGGCGCCCAGCTCCACATGCGCGACTGTTTCTGTGGTTACCTGTCTGCGGGGACCAGTGGGGCTGTGATCACCGCGGGTGCCATGGGCAGGGCTTCGTAGGAGCCCGCAGGACACGCCCAGGAGGCCATCCTCCCCTTGTCACCAAGAGGCCACCAAGTCCCTTCCCCGGCCAGGGGACTAAAGGTCCTCACACATGCGGTAGGGAGGACAGGGAGAAGCCAGCCCCCTCCCCGGCGCCCACTGCATAGGAGGGGAAACTGAGGCAGAGGGCGTTTAGGGAGCTGGCAGAGGTCACCAGAAGTGGAAGCAGGTCTCCGCCTAGACCAGGCTCTGTCCCCCATCCAGGTGCGGCAGCTGGGTGGTGGGTGCGCAGGGACAAGGGTGGAGGGGATGCGGGTCTGCGGGCGGCCCAGCGGGATCCCTGAGTGCCTGGGGCGACGCGGCCTCTTCCCCTTCCCGGGCCACCCAGGCCGAACTTCCTGCCAGGCCGGCCCCTCCCGGGCGCCGCCTCTCGGCTTCTCCTGCACCCGCAGGCCAGAGGCCAAAGGTTAGGGAGGTGGGGCCGGTGCTTGGTCCGCCTCTGTCCCGACCCCCACGCGGGACTGCGACCCGGCAGGGCCTTGGTCGCGCAAAGAGAGGGCTGAACAGTAGCCGGTCGCAAAGGCGGTGGGCGCCCGGAGTCCACCAGGGGGCGTGGCCAGGACGGGGCGTGACCAACTAGGGGGCGGGGCCGTCTTGGGGCCCAACGGGTGGGACCAAGATGGGGGCGTGGCCGGGGAGGGGCGGCCCAGCAGGAACCTTGAGCCCCGCCCTCGTCGCGCGCCCCGCCCCGGTCCCGCCTTCTCGTCCCTTCCTTCCCGGGCGGGCAAGCGACGGCGGCGGACGGTGGATCAGCGGGCCGGCGGCGCCCACACCACGCTGGCTGCCCAGCCGCCGGCTTCCTTTTGTCTTTCCGGGCGGCGATGAGCGCAGGACCCGCTCGGAGACTGCGGGCGCACGGACGCCCGCGCTCCTAGCCACCTCTCGGGCCTCTGGGAGGAACCGGCGGAATCGGCGGAGCGCGTCCTGCCCCGGACCGGTACGGAAGGGCTGCGGGCTGGGCTCGGCTGGCGCGCCTGTCGGGGGCGCCCTGCCCGGCTCGGCGGGGCTGGCGCATCCTCGTGGGGTCGGTGTGCGCGCCGTGGG